AAAAATGAGAAGTTACATGTTTATTGCGCTAACAATTTTATTTCTAAAAATCTAGACATTTTTGCTGTGTCTGCATGAAAAATTTTGACTGCCTCAAACTAGCTGCTAATTTAACTCTTTTGCTTTCATCTGATATGGTCCAAAGGCGATACTCACTTTAATGTCTCTCAGAGTTTTCTGCCTCATGCAAATGAGCCCTTTAAATCTCTCTTCTTCCTCATATCGTCTCTCTTGACAGGATTTCCTCTCATTCTTGAGATGATCGAATACAATTTCGGCATGTTCTTTTTTATATCTTATACTTAGAAATTTTTCACTACGAAGAAAAAATTACATTTGCCACTAATTAACTCATATTTTATTTTATATAACATGTTTAAGATACATTTTAAAAGACCCATCATTGAAAAATCTTAGAGCTGACGAGCCTTGGAAAAGGTTCCTAAACCCTTTCTAAGGCCTACTTCCATGTGCCAACCAGACCAGTCGCTGTTGAGTCGATACCAACTCAGGTTGACCCCAAGTTTGCCCAGTAGAACTTTGCTCTAAAGGGTTTTCATGGCTGAAACGTTTCAGAAACATCTCCAGGACTCTCATCAGTGTGTTCGAACCACCAACCTGTCTGTTACCAGCTAAGTGCTTAATCATTTGTGCCACTCTGGCTCCCTAAAACTACACCTAAATGATCCATCTGGAAGAAAATCTATGGAGAAATTTAGTGGGTTCTCTTGGTTGCGTACTAGCAGGCCTCTGTTCTGTCTTCACTCCAACAGAACCTCATGTAACTCCAGGGATACATTCTGATTAGGTTAAAACCAGTTATCACATGGCTGACTGTTAGGAGTGGGTATATATATCAAAATACCTCCCTAAGATGAAAGGTAAGGGCCTATTCCATCTGAAAGAAGAGGCTTACATCCACAGTGAACAAGGACTCATGCTTCCAGATTTGCTGATAGCAGGCAAAGTGGAGAAAGAAAAAAGAAAGAGTCCCAAGGGTTGAGCTGCATAATCAACCAACCCTGATGCTGTCCTACCCATGGACTTGCTACTAAGATGGCATATGAATGTGCCTGTGTATTTTCATGTGCAGCTAAGTACCTCTTGATACAAAGGCAAAATGACAATTTTTATGGTAAAATGGGTAGTTATAAAAGAGGCAACACTGACAAAAACACCAGAAAGTAATGAAAATGTTGTCATTAGGTGACTTTGAGTTGGTTCCAACTCATGGTGACCCAGCGTACAACAGAACAAAACATTGCCTGGTCTTACGCCATCAGCAAAAAAAAAAGCATGAATTAAAAATAACTTGCAGAGTTGAGCAGCAGCTCAGAATCCAGAATAAGCAGAGTCACACAAGCTCAGCAAGGTCTTGTGTTACTCACATTTACGGTCATCTCTACTGTCATTTGCACAGTTAGCTACAAAGGAAGCAGGACTAATATTTTTTGTTGTTGTTGTTGTTATATGCCGTCGAGTTGGTGCTAAAATGTTACAGTGCTTTGAATATAATATCTCATTTAATACAAACAACAACAAATCTGTGAAATAATGACTACAACTACTCCTCACTTATCTATATGGTTAGGTCCAAGGACCAGGCAAATCGACCTTATTTATGCAGGAGTCTGAGTTGGCTGACCTGTCTTCACCTGTGCCTCCTCCCCATCTAGGGGTATGCTATGAGTGATCGAGCAGGCAGGCTTTCCCCACCACCTCAGAGCCCACAGAGGGTGGGGGTGGGGAGATTTAGGGGGTTCGAGAGTCACCGGCTGCCTCGGTAGCAGCAGGGACCCACTATCTCTGGCCCTGCTCCAAGCCTCCGCACAGACCATGCACCTTGCCTCTCTATCTTCCAGCGCTGCCAGCCTCTGGAATGAGCCTCAGCAAGGGGCTCCAGGGGCCCCAGGGTCTGCAGGCAGGTGAGGCCCAGCCACCTGGGCCTGCAGGGAGGACCCCACCACCAGAGAGGGCTGATGGTCTGCCTTCAACCTCTTTTCCTGCCCTCTGCCCTTACAGCCTCCCTCTGGGAAACCGGACACAGCTGGGGCCAGCAGTAGTATACCTAGGTTGCAGCGCCACGCTGGAAGGGGACTCATAAAATTTGAATGGAGACGAGGGGGGAAAGAAAAGGAGGCAAAGCACCCTCTTTGGAAGGAGAGACACCTGGAGCAGCCACCCACGGTCACCCAACTTCTGCAGCACTGGCTCCCTCCACCTGCTTTTTGGGGCCTGTCTGTCCAGTTGCCGCAAGCTCCTGCAACAGTCTTGGATAATACAAACAACTGCCCACGTGGCTTCCATCCCTTTCATAAACCTCGCCCTCCTCTTCCTCCTCCTCCCCTTCTTGCCTCAAAAAACCAAAACTAAACCCACTGCCCTCTGAGTCATAGCGACCAACCATATAGTACAGAGTAGAACTGCCCCCATATGGTTTCCATGGCTGTAAGTCTTTACCAGCACATACTGCCACATATTTCTCCCATGGTGGTTTGGAAACATCGACATTTTGTTTAGCAGACAAATGCCGTCGCCAATGCACCACCAGAATCTCGCTTCCGATCCTTGTTAACGTGGTAAACGTTCAAATCATAGATTTTTTACTATATTGTCACAAATGTCAACTGTCTGATAACGAGATAGTCCATTAAGTGAAGCGTAGGTGTTCTACACGCAGTACCCTGATTAAGAACTCAATCCATTCCTACCTGTGTCTTTAAGAATGTGTAGGTCAGTCCGAGTAGGTGCATGCATTCCTATTTGCCTTACCTTAGTGGACAAAAAGGCGCTCTGGTGGCAGGGCGCCTAAAGCATTTGACTGGTAACCAGAAGGTTGGCAGTTCAAACTTGAGCTGAGGAAAGAAGAGGGAGAATCTATTTCCGAAAAGATTTACCGCCTTGGAAGCTTAATGGGGCTCGCATTGCGTCGGAGACCACTCAATGGCAGTGGATTTGTTTTTTTGTTTTAGCGCAAGAAAAGGCTCCAAGACTTTTCAATGATTTAAAGGCTGCACATGCAGCAAGTGAAAGAATTATGATGCAGGATTTGTTCCAAGTAGGGGTTGGCTCCATTGTTTTAAACTAAGGGCAAATTTACACATTGAAGCATTACTTCAAAACAACATTGCCAGTCGCAAAGATGGCGGCACCCTGCTCAAAGATCGCAGCCGCTTTTAATGTCTGTGGCTTTCCACAGTTTCAATAATCCAGTCTCATTCATCAGGCTCCTGAGAGGGCTCACGATGCCTCTTCCGAGTCTCCCATTCTACGGCTATGACCTGCAATTTTTCCCCTTCCAGTTACCTTGACGAATCACCCAAATTGTAAAAATTCAGCTCTGTCCCTATTTTGTTTTGTCGACCATGACAGAACCGGTTCCAAGCTGTGTATTAAACTGCCAGTAGGAGTTATGGATAAGTCGAACATTCTTAACCCGGGAACTGCCTATATAGCCATTGAGAGATCAGGAACCGAAACTTCAGCATAGTTAAGAAGCTTGTACAAGCAAAACTAGTAACCGACAGAACTGGAATTCAAATCCAATTCTGTATTGCTCTAAATTCCCTTTTTCCAACTTTACCATTCTGATCAACATCTAGAATTCTTATGTGATGTCCTATCTAAATACTTACTGATAATGACACTATGGAGCTTAGAGAAGCAATTAAATTAACACAGGAAAAGGCAAGTATAACCAAAACCATAAGGCTTTCATAGTCCATGCAAGCGAACAGCATTCTCCAACTATCCTGACCACATCTACCTTGTTCTCTACGCAAAATGTTGAGATTACATTACATTAAATATAGCATTTTATTTGTTCTATATATGTACATATTATATAGAAACCAAAACAAAACCAAACTCACTGCCCTCAAGTCAACCCCTCCTTGGGTTACCGAGGCTATCATTAGCAAATAGATTGTCCAATCTTCCTTTCAAGGAGTGGCTGGTGGGTTTGAACTGCCAGCCTTCTGGTTTGCAGTCAAATGCCTTAGGCGCTACACCACCAGAGCTCCCAAATTATTTATACATGTATATATAAATAATATTTCTTTCTTATATTAATTAAAAGAAACTGAAATCTTATAGGTCTGGGTTTGAATCCTTCCACTTCCTAGTGAAGAAATAATTGTAAAAAAATTAAATGAGAACTAAGGTTAGCTTTGATTGCTATAATTTTTTAACCATATATCAATTGTGTTATATATACAAGGTTTATCTTCTAAAAATATTTTCAGACATTTCAATGCACACTTTCCCACTGGCCATTGTTTTATCCTTCCGCTGCCTATTGCTAGGCACCTTAACTAGTAATTATTGACTTGATAGAGTCATTTATTGATATCATCAGTAGTTTATTCATAATACAACTTATGTGCAGTAATCTTCCTTTCCAGTGGAAGTTCAGGGAGTCAATACGCACAGTTGAAAGAGCACACACTTTAAAGTAGGATAGACCTAAGTTGGAGTTAGCTCTACCGCTAATTAGATGTGCAATATTAAGGCAATCATTGAATTTCTCCTTTCTCTTTTTCTTAGCATGCATATGGAAATTATATTGTATAACTTAAGAATGTGTGAGAAATAATTGAGATAAAGTACATAGATTGCCCAGCAAAGTGTATGACACATTAGGAACCCAATCAACAGTAGCTTTAAATAATACTTGATATTGTCCATCATCACGGTTAATTAATACAGTTGTAAATAATATAATGATATCAGTTTATTCTTTTTATCCTTCCATGTTGGAAGTCAGAGTTTTTTTCAGGTTTAGAGAAGGGATTGGCTCATTAGGCCATGTTCACCACTCTTGTCTGCAGAGCAATGCAATTCAGCCATAGTAGAAATAAAACATTACAATTCAAATGGTGAGAATTGTTTTTTCAACTTTTCACTGTGATTTGGGTGAAAGTTTACAGAGCAAATCAGTTTTCCATTCAACAATTCACATATATTTTGTCTCACATAATTAATTGCACTCCCTTCAATGTAACATCAGTCCTCACACTTCCTCTCCCTGTTTCTGGTTTCCATTCCTCTTTCTCTCCTGACCCTTCTTGTATTCTGAACTTTCCCCTTGGGCAAATGCTGCCATTCTGAATATGGGATAGTTGGTTTTTCAAGAAGTGTGTACCGTCCTAGAGTTAATGTTCACCTTGGAGATCTGTATATTGTTTGACTGAAAATTGAGCTATCCGAGTGAGTTCAGTTCCAGATCTGAGGCCTGAATAAGGGCAATAGTCTCAGGTGTTCCACCAGTCTCTATCTGACCAGTAAGCCTGGTCCTTTTTATTATTTTGAGTTTTGCTCCACATTTTCCCCCCATTCTACCCAGAACTTCCTAAAGTGATCCCTTTCAGAGCAGTGAGCTGTGGTAGCTGACTACATCTACTTTTTCTGGTCTCAGGGTTGTGGAGGCTGAGGTTGGCATGGTCCATTAGTCCTTTGGACTAATTGTTCCCATTTGTCTTTGGTATTCTTCACTCTTCTTTGCTTCATACAGAGAGAGACCAAGAGTTGCACTTTTGATGGCTATTTGCAAGCTTTTAAGACCCCACTCAGGAGCTCTGGTAGCATAGTGGCTAAAGCCCTTGACTGCTAACCAGAAGGCTGGCGGTTCAA